CGATGGTTTTTGGCCGTAAGTACATGGGTAGTATACCAGTTAGTATCTAGACGAACTATTATAATGCATTTATTGATGGGTGCATGCTTATCAGGAAACCAGAGAGTGCCGAATTGTATGTTGTAATGGCTGAGTGTAAATTTTAAGCCAGCTGATGCAAGTACTTATTTGAGTCAATGTCAATTCAGATGTAGAAATAGAAGTTAAACAACGATATATAACTTGGTGTCTACAGAATAAAGCCATTTGAAGTTGTATATATGCAAGTGGAATATGTTCGAAGAGGTTCAAACTATCAATAGATATTGAATCTATCACATCAGAGTGAGTAAGTCCAAAATATGACCGCGAATATGGGTTGGCTCCTGAACCCACTGATTAATGGAAACACCTTTCTTCTTTGATTTTGTGTAATTACAATAAATATTTGTTATGTCTAACTACTCTAAAATAAATACAGAATAATATAAAATAACATTGGTATTAACTGAAAAAAATATGCAAACGAGATAAAATAGTCCCTTCTAAAGTTGTGCATTTACGAAAATTATCTTTAATTGTTTAGTGTTGGTAGTTATTGAGTGATAAAAACAATATTCTTTTGCGTAGATCAAAAATTAGACTATGCAAATTAGTCACGTGCCCATGTAATAATAATGTCGGTATTTTCACGGTAAATTATGCAAATTAGCCGCTTTCATAATCTAGTACAGTACAGCTCAAACTAAAAAAATGTCAAAACCAAAGTGATGTGCCACTGCTAAAAGTATTTTGTTAGTTTTCTCCTGAGATTGAGCAATAAATCAAAATATCGTTTTTATAATGATCAGAATAAAAACGAATCGCGTAGCTTTTAAAGCATCGAAAACCTGGATAAAAAATGAATCAAAACGTTTGAAAATAGTCACCGGCGCAATGACATATATAGTCTATATTCTTCTATATCGATGTATGAAGTCGCCCTATGTCCCAAGAAATATCCAACCGTTGTATTGTATTGGTTTTATTTGATTTTAAAAAGAAATCCTGAATTTTACTCCGTTTGTTTCTTTTATCGGTTGGCATTTTTGTTGTTCTAACTAAAACACAGCGACAAGAGCGCGTCTGTCAACATTTGTATATAAATAAAACGCAGAATTAACCAATCATTTGGCAGACTATAAAGTAGATCACTGTTATGGCAGTACTTATGGAACTCAAGGTTCTTTAATGAATTTTATATTTCAGGGATATTTCGTGAAAAACTATAGATATATTTGAAAATTAGTGAATATTTTCAGTAATATTGTTGTAATTAATAAGTATATTATTAAAAAAAATCAATATACAATCAAGTATGAGTTATCTGAATATCACCTCGTTTTTTTTCGAATTTGGGCGATTTTTTATTATCCTTTAAACAATGTGATTAATATTCAACCATGCAGTCCATGGCCCTTTCAGTTGGTAACTCTGTTTACTTCTGGTTACTTTTAGAGTCAACTTGAAGGGGAACATCAAGATATAAAGGCAAAAGACTTGATCACAACATCTAATTCCTAATTAATTCAATGCTTTATTGAAAGAGATGGCCACTAAACTTCACAAATAGTTTGTCAATCAAATATTCAAGCATACTGACGATGCTACTTTGTGTATAAAACGTGTTGGTATTAGATTTATCAGTAATAAAATAGTCGGTACTGATACGGTGTACTTGTAACACGGTGAACCATTGATGGAAGATATCTTTCTTGTATAATTGTATGTGTTATGTGGTATAGTAGTATAAATTGTGGTAAAGTCAAAAGTTGTGATAGCAGACATATCAGACTGTCAATTTGAATACACATTGCAGTCCGTGGAATGGTGCATTTGTACAAACACAAAAAGTGTCGATTACAATCTGCATATGGAAAACTGTGCTGAATAAAAAAAGAACAGTCGCGATCACGAATTCGACATATATTCGACATTCGATCAATATTGGTATAAATTAATTGAAAAGTAATGTAATAGTTTAATAGTTTGTATGTAATTTCTACCAAGAAATCAGAAACCGTTATATACCTCATTTCTATCTTACTCCACCGACTGATATTAAATTTATCACTTTGCTTACAACTAGAAACGAGTCACTTTTACAACGTGTTATGGTTTTTGTGTACCAGTCGTTCAAGTTTAGAAGAGATGCCACTGAAGTAACTTGTGATATGTACTAACCCTTTTGGGGGCGATGGCCTTATTTCTGGTAATAACGATCCTATATTTAATAGCTTGAGGTAAAACAAAATTAGAAATTGTCACAGATCGGACAAGAACGTCAAAGTTGAATAATGGTCACTTTAGATAGACAGGATAATAGCTGCATAAAACGTCTCTAACTACTTATTATTTCAGCTTCTTGTCAACGATGATTTAAATGTATTGAAACTACAGCAGCAAGGTCTCAAATAAATTAAGAAAAAACATAAATTGCAAAGTAAAGAAAATGAAAAGGCAAAATGATAAGAAGGCAGTCGTAGGATAATACTAAATTAAAAGTAAAAGCATATAATGTGAATTAGTGGAAGTTGTTATCTGGTACTGAAGCTGTTCTGTATAAATTTGTAATAGCTAAACACTTAGTGCTCATAAAAGCTTTGTTATCATTCCGCGTGTTGGCGAAATCAATATGTTTGTTTGTTTCCCTGAGCAGAAAACATCTTTGTTTATTGCTGAATGTGCATGATATCGTGAAATGTAATTCGTCTTTAATTTCATTTTTATTATAATGCACAAGGTTTCTGCACGCAACTGGGTTCTTGAAAATGTGTAACATGCCGTCTCTATTTCTAGACTGTGTTTACTTACCCGAAATTGACTTTTTCAATGATGAATAAATAATCTTTCAATTTAAAGTTTATTTTGGGCAGCTATTTGTCTACCATTTCTCATTTTCATTATACATTTCATTTTCCCAA